GTTTTAGATATATTTTCCCCTGAAAACGTACGGAAATGTATAATTTTCAAACGACGCAATTTCGCAAAGGGCCCATCTTTTTTACAAGCACCTCTCGGAAACACTCTTTTATTAGCAATTCTATTAAGGGACAATTCTATTAAGGGAACTCTTCTAGCACAGGTTTTACAGTACAGCTATTTCAGCCCAATGTAGCACGNGAATTTCATCGTCCGCGATTCTCNGCCTCACCTGCACGACAAGATCTCTTCTTACATGTGACCATCTCTGCGAGATCTCTTTGTTTCATTATTCATTTAAAGATAAAGTGCGGAAACCTCATTGGCCGTCTCCATACTGAACTATTCATCTGTCCAGGGATTCGTGAGCAATGCATTGAGATTGCGGGTGAGTAGTGATTTCTTAAGACAAAAACCTTTAAATGCTTCTTCCAGGTTGTTCGCAGCTGTTGACCCCGGTTGAGTTCACTATCAGAGCCGAGAAAAGTAAACAGAAAGATTGGAAGGGATCCATTAAGCATAATGGAAGAATGTTGAGAACTCTGATGGAAGATAAGCAGCTAGACTTTTATAACCACGAGGAACACTGCTCCTTCAAATGCCACTCTCGAAACTATATCACAAAGAACGGAGGAACCCAATCAAAGGATGTTGTTCGTGTGAAAGAAGCTCCGCAGAGGAGACATTCTATTGCTGCTGTTCCTATCGTGCCACCTCAAACATTTATCAATCAATTTTTGCAGGGTAAGTTTGTAAGATGAGGATCTTGCTAATGAAGGATTTTATTCAGAAGGAATGATCAATCCCGAGTTGTTATCCATATTGCAAGCCCACTGCAATGCTGAAAATCAAAAGAGACTAGAAGAAGCTGAACGTCAAAGACTCCAGAAGCAACACGCTATCAAGAATCTATTGCGTAATGGTAAGTCGGGCGGGCGAAGTTAGAATAACATACCTAAACAACTGTAATAGAAGAGCTCCCACACTGTTGAATTTGAGCTCAATTATTTCAATTTCCATGCAAGATAGCAAAAAATAGATTACTAATGAAATATTTGTCATCTTTACTATTAACAATCACCAAATTCTGTGTGTGTGTGTGTGTCCTTTTGTTGCCGGTTAGCGGACCCTAGCGAAATCCCAAGTGGACCAAAATTAGCCAAATTTTGTCATATGACCCGAAATAGCAGCGAGATGATGCCCGTCTATTTTGATATTTATAATAGAGGTCATGGAACTACAAAAACCTCTTTTTTGGGAACATTAAGGTTTTTCTGTTCTCAAAGGTAGGTCTACAAGTTCACGGAAAAAATCACGTCGCTTGTCGGCTGCAATAATCTTCTCGTATTATGATAAGCAATTTAATAGTTGACCCCTTTTTCATATCTTCAACAGGAACCTTGATGAATTGGCTCGAAGTTAAAAATTAGGGGGCCTTTTTATTAGAGGTTTCACGGTAAGAAAAAACCTAGTTTATGAAGTAATCGTGTAGAAACAATTTAAAAGACAGTTTTCACTTTTTTTTTTCCAAATAATCCAATTTACGTATTTTCAGATCCCGTCACATTCTGGAAGCAAATTATGCTCTCCAAACTTCCCGCAATGGTTTTCTCCAAAATATCTAACGAGTTTGGAATCATTGCTCAAAATTTGAGCTACGGAACTGAAATTGCTTCAAATGCCCAAAAACTGCTTCAAATGATCCAAGCCTTTAATTTGGAGGATGCTTTGTGTCGGGAAATGTGTGGAGAGTTCATTCTTCCAACATCTAATGTCGTTCCGCTGCTCCCACTTTTGGCTACCTCTCCAATCTTAGCCACGCCCCCTGTTCCAACCCAAAAGGCTTCTGTCCCTGTCCCATCGAAAGAAATTCAACCAATTCTTCCAATCCAAAATCCCCAAATTTCATTTTTCAACAATAACAACAATCATGTACTCACTTCTTCTGAAAAATTGGAGATGATGCTCCAAAGCATGCATAACTAGTTCATTTGACTATACATCTTGATTTATTTTTTGTTTCGCGGAATTTCCCAAAAAATGATTATCCATGTTCAGATTTCATTAATCACGTTTTTCTTCTCCCTTCCTTGCTATTCTATCTCTAATTGCTTTATTCTCCAAAAAAACTCCACTAGACATCTCTTTTTTCCATCTAGACATACATCATGGCTGTGCCTATGCTTTTTTCTTCCATATTTGCTTTTTTATTGGTCTAATTTGCGTATTGGTCATGAATTAATAACTCGGTTCAATTTTTTATAACTCTCTCACTCCCACCTTTGCATTGTTTATTATGTTGGCATAATTCGGTAATAAAACAGTGAATAGTCATTTTTGAAATTTTATAATATGGTAAAACCTGTATTAGAAGGGCCGACCTTTCTTTTTTTAATACCTCTCTTGCAGGTCCCTTCAATCAGAAGGGTGTGAAACTTTGTGTGAGAGCTTTAAATAGAACGTACAACATGTTTAAAGTTTGAGATTTTTTTTTCGAATTTTGAAAAAAAACGCTGTTTGTTTAGGTCACTACCTAGATATTTTTAGGTCACTACATAGATTTTATAGGTCACGACCTAGATTTTTCTAGGTCATGACCCATTTTTCTAGGTTTTCCTAGGTCATGACCAAATATTTCTAGGACATGACCAAATATTTCTAGGACATGACCCAATTTTTTCTAGGTCATGACCCAATTTTTCTAGCTCCTGACCTAGATTTTTCTAGGTCATGCCCCAATTTTTCTAGGCTATGACCCAATTTTTCTAGGCTATGACCCAATTTTTTCTAGGTCATGACCTAGTTTTGTTTTAGGTCATGACCCAATTTTTCTAGGTCATGACCCAATTTTTCTAGCTCCTGACCCAATTTTTCTAGGCTATGACCCAATTTTTTCTAGGTCATGACCCAATTTTTCTAGGTCATGACCCAATTTTTCTAGCTCCTGACCCAGTAATGAAAAATCTACACAGCCAGAAAGCAAATTTTAGAAACCTAAAAGGTCTTTTAGAAGGCAAAAGACCTGAATGCTTACTTTTTTTGCTTACATACATTATTCTGAAAATCTCCTGTTTGATTTTAAAAAATCCAGAACTTCAACTTTAGTGCCGACCAGTTATTTGAAAAGCTTCATACTTAAAAAGATAAATGTTTGTTTATTCGAGAGTGATTATATATAATTTCAGAGTTAACATAAATGATAGTAGCGATTAAATAGAGGTAGATGTGATTGGTTAGAATCTGGAAGGGACCACTTGAATGGTATTGTTGCTGCCCGAGATTTTTCCCTTTCCTTGCTTGTAGAGCTGGCAAAGAATTTTCGAGAGCTCCAAACGGACACGAGTCGTGGTGCAGGTGATGAAGAGGGAGTTGAGGACGGTGGTTCCGAAGAGGAATATGTAGACCTGTAAAAAGTTTAATTTGAATTTTAATATTCAAATTGCCTATTACATGTGAATGGATGAAGATGATGAAAACGTTCTCAGACTGGAAGGCCTCGAAGAGTTCGTAGAGGAAGACGAAGAAGTGGAAGATCATGTGTAGGATGTTGAAGAAGACGAGGGACTGATCACTTCTATGGAAATGCGAGACATTGATGAAGTTGTTGCATCTCAAACGTGTCATGATGGTGAAGGTGGGGGCGATGATGAAGTAGAGGGACACCCAGAAAATAATGATGTAGCGTTGAACTTTAATAAGCCAATCTGGACTCAGAGTATACGTCCAATCACCATTCTCATAGACATAATTACGAACGCGGAAGAGAGCTGGAATGGAGCAGAAGGCGGAGATAGCAACGATGATCTTGAAGTATCTGCCGATAAGTTTCGGGCAGAAATGCATTGTATGGAAAGTGAAGGTCGCCGAGTAGCGATTAACAGCCATTAGTCCGTTGCCAATGATATGGATCAGGTAGCAAGAGCATGTTAGCCAGCTGCACACATATGTCACTTCAAACAGCGCGTCTCCATGGATAACCTCACGCTCGAAGCACATCCAGAGAAGAGCGATGGCATGGATCACATCAGCGCTTCCTGGAAATGTTCATTGGTCATGTCACTATAATATGAGCTTGCAAATAGATTCTAATTAGTAATTTCGACCTGACGTCGCGTTCCCTAGAGAAACTATGAGGCTAAAAATGTAGTTTATATGGTTGATGACGTTTGTTCAGTCTCACAAGAGAACATCTTTTGAACGTCATAAAAGTTACAACTAGTTGAATTTCAATGAACATATAATGCACTGTGTAGATGTGATATCCCAAATGAGAACTACCGTAAACCCTGTAAAATAAGAGCTCCTAACTTTCAACTTTGAGCCAACTTTCCCCCGGTTCCTGTCAAAGATATGAAAAAGTAGTCAACGGATAAATTGTTTATCATAATATTAAAAGTATTTTGTGAGTTGGCACATTTTTGTTATCTTGCAAAGGAACCGAGATAATTGAGCTCAAACTGGACAGGGGCAATTCTATGGTTTAACGACATCTCAAATTATAACTAATTGAATAAGCACTGTATAATTAGAACACTAAAGCTAACTGTCCCTTTACTTCCAAATGATCTGATCAAAAATTGCTAAATCCTAACGGGTAAAGTGAAAAGTCATGTGAAAATTACATAATTCAGAACTATAGAATCTCCTCCAATTGAAGCCCACACAAGCCGTCAACTTTGATCTCAATTATCTCGGATCCAAAAAGAGATATAGAAAATTTTTCAACTGATAAATTGTTTACCATAATATCAGGAGTGTTTTGTCAGTTGACACAAATTTGATATCTTTTGAAAGAGCCGTGATAATTGAGCTCAAAATGGGTAATACAGCAATATCTTTTCTGACACAAGCCACATACCAATAAAAAAGAACAAATGATAGAACTGTGATCCGAACTGAGCCTTATTTTTGATCCGCTGAACAGCGAGAAGAACGCATCCGTAGAATGCAATGCACAACATCTGAAGAACATATCCCGGAATCATGTACGAAGCAAACGTGAACGACGGTGGTGGAGGTGGTGGTGTCTCCAGTGGAGTCAGTGGAGGAGTGGTGGAGTCCATACCTTGAAAAAGTATAGATTTGGGATTGGAAAAGGAGGGGAAAGGGTGGTGAAGGGGTGACTGGAACTGGATAAGAATGTGCTGAGGTGAATGAAAAAATGGGCGGGATCCATTGTGGGCTCCCTAGGTGGATTTAAGACAATGGGCGGAGCAAAAAAAATGGGAATGAGGTTACACTAGAGAGAATAGGGAATTTCTGCAATGGATTGGTGACAGAAATCAAAAAGTCAGAAGAATGAGGGATAATTTTGTGTTTTGCACGCACTGGTTCCAGAAATCTTAAGGATGTGTAACAAAAGCTTGAAAACAAGTTGGAGAACAACTCATTAGAGCTCATTTGGGAGTATATGACATCTGAACAAACTGATCATTCGACACTAGAGGTGAAGGTGCAAGCAAGTAAAATCCTCTGGGATCTCGGACTACGTGGTTTTTGAACATTTTGTTAAGCAGGTCATTTTGATCATTATTGTATTTTTCGTCTACACTACTAATTGTAAGTTAACTGGTGTAACCCGGATAATAACCAAGGCTGCAAATGCTAACTTGGTTGGAAAAAATACATGTTTCGGTTCAAAAAAAGCTCTGTTCGTTCTCGCTATCTCCTCCTCGATCTCAATAATCACAGATAGATGCCAGTTTTCAAAAGTGTTTATCATTCAAAAACTCGATCTCATTATCCTTCATTCATTGCCGCAGACCAGGTGCCATGTACCGTAAAACCATTGAGAGAAGGACCCACACACTGTTAAGCTTAAGCTAATTTGCACCCTTCTATTACAGATTTTACGGTAGATGTCGTTATGCTGCATCGATTGCCACAGACCAGGTACTATCTAATTAGAAACTGAATTAATAATTTTTCGCTTTGAAAAACAATATATTCGAGAATAGGGGGGTTAGTCAGAAACTCCAACTGTACATGTTATGTTTTTTGCCGACTGTCTGACAAGTTGCTATGGGTCAGTCCTGGGGGAGCACAATGATGAAGATGTTTTATTCTTATTATTAAAAATGAGTTCAATAGTTTATGAAGACAATGTCTGCAGTGTGAATAATTTCAGATGAGACATTACACTGCGGAAGTGAATTACAAGAAATATTATTGTCGGCGAAAGTTACCGTAAACACTGTAATAGAACGTCACCCAAACGAATGATCCTACTATGTTTAGGCTTGACCTACTTTTTGCAAACAAGGAAACCACTCGAAGTTAACTTCCTGGCACAGTATTCAGGAACACACCAATAGCAAAACCATCGGGAACTTTAATGATAACAAAAGTAGGTCAAATAACATTATACCAATTCCCATAGAGCCTCTTGCACTTATCAAAAAGTATACCGGTTTTCGAACTAAATATATAATCTTGCACTACTTTAAGCTTTTGCTGGTTTGGAGTGCATCCAAAAAGAGTAATGAACGAGGAATAGTGAACTTCAAGGTCCCTCCTGAATTTCATCTTGATCTTCTGGAACTTCCAAATCAATTTCAAAATTATTAGGAAAACTTTAAAACAATAACACTCGATTCTAAGAAAATGGCATATGACTATGGCTCAGAGATTCATCTAGCAAGAGAATTGCAAGGCTTATTAAAAATGACTGATAGTAGTCAACTCCCGCTAGGACTGTCTGGACCACTTGGAGCATGAGGAACAAAGAATGAGATGTTCCATTTTCAGTGATAACTGGATAAACAGATTACCATGAAACCTATGACCCATTACATTTAACTTTGAGTAATTTTTCTCGATTGAAATTTAACTAAAACAGTTGTCAAAAAAAATTAAAACAGTTGTCAACTGATAAAATGTTTATCATAATCTCAGAGAACTGAGATAATTGAACTCAAACAGGAAAGTATGGGGGCCCTTCTACTATAGGTTCTCCGGTATACATCAGGATTAGTGGGTGTTTTTGATACTCTGGGAAACGTCGAGCACAAGGATTTTTCTGATACTCTGACCTTCGCTACGATCTTCACCACGTCTCGCAGATTCCTGATTCATTCCTGGCAAAAAACTACCAATTTGGCGCCTGAGGTCAGAAGAAAGGATTCAAAAAATCATCGAAATCGAAACACAGATTTCTTGAAATAACCAAGATGGCAACATTTGTAAGATTTGTACCCAAGAAGATTGGATACGATTTAGGTTAAATCCTTCGAAAGACGTGAGAAGACAAGTTGTAGTTGTGTGGACGTCAATGGTCTTTTTCTTCTTCCTTCTTGAATCTGAGATTCGAAGAATCTCGAATGAAAAGTCAGAAAAGCATCTTGTGAAAAATCAGAAAACGAAGAAAAAACATATCAATTGGTGATACAGGAAGTGGCTGTTGGGAAAATCAAAATTTTAGAAATCTGAAAACTGTACGGATTACAGAACGTATTCTATTTCAGAACATTCAAAAATTATGTAAACATCATAAGTTGTAGGGATCCTTGTTGAATTAGAAGCGTTTTTCTCTTTCTGGTATCGGATAACTATTTATCCAGATCTCAATCGCAAGAAGGAGCTTTTTCGATCTTCATGTATCAAGTGATCCAAACAATCCGGGTTTGACTACTGTCAGTCATTTTTAATGGGTTTTGCGATTCTCTTGTTAGTTGAATCTTCTAGCCATAGTCATATGCCATTTTCTTAGAATCGAGTGTTATTGTTTTAAAGTTTTCCTAATAATTTTGAAATTGATTTGGAAGTTCCAGAAGATCAAGATGAAATTCAGGAGGGACCTTTGTGTTCGGCTTGTTCCACAGCTCCGATTATTTGTACCGGAATATTGTCCTGCTGGTTTTTTACGAACTCGACTTGTCTCGGTTATTAAAATGAATTGGAATTCCCTTGATAATTGTTGGACTTTATTTCTTTACAAAACTTTTCAAAATTCACAATTCAAAATTTAATATCCGGGTTGTTTTTCTTGAGAGCTGCTTGATCCTCAGCGGACAGAGTTTTGAACTCCTCGTGGAGTCGTTTGGCCTCAGCGTCATCGATTGGTTTTTGAGTGGTCAGAGAGCACAGAGTGTGAGTCACCATATGGATCAACTGGAAATAGAAGAAAGTGGTTCGAGTATTGACGAAGTGCAAAAATGTATTCTGACCGAGAAAATATTTTCGAAAAATCACGAAATTTGAAACGAGGCATTGATGTTATCAAAATTTTAAAAAAAAAGAATACAAAGTGATTTGACAATATGTTTGGGTGACTTTAGGCAAATAAAGGAATGATGATGTAATTCTTATTAAAGTTACCTAAAACGAATATATGAATCCAATTATTTTGGTTTCCAAAAATGATTATAAAAAGTTATAGACTCATTTTTCAACTTTATACGCTCAGAGCGTATCAGATTGTAGCTCACCTTCTTGGCGTACTCAATAGCCGACGGCGACAATCCATCGAGCCGTCTCTTGTTCCCCTCGAGCACATTTGCCAAACGTTTTCCAAGTTCTGGATTCTTCTTGGAGACCTCGTCAATCATCTCACCACATTGCGAGAAACACGAATGCTTTTGGAATACCTGGTAATTAAATGCAAGGGTTTGAGTGATTTATCAGTGTGTGCAATTATACCTCATGTAGAACTGGCTTTTCTTCCGCAGTAATTGATGAGGAGAACTCGAGTTGTTCAGTTGGGAACATGTCTGAAAAAGTTATGGGGTTTTCGTGAGGGCTGGAAAATTATAGATGTAGAAGGTTTTGGTTTTTTTTCCAGCAACTTTTGAAATTTGAATATTTGAAATTTTGTTAGTTTCCTACTTCTGAACACGCACTCGAAACCGATTACCTTAAAATCATAAGAGGTCCTATAACTTTTAACTTTGAGCCAATTTATCTCGGTTCCTAAAAGATAAAAAAATGGTGTCAACTTAGAAAACACTTCTGATATTATGATGAACATTTTATCAGTTGACAACTTTTTGCTCTAATAGGAACCAAAATTTCTATTAGTTTACAAAATCTTCACTAGAAGCTGATAACCGTAAAACCTGCCATAGAAGGGTAACTAACATATTTCGGTTCCTTTGAAAGATATAAAAAAGTTGTTAACTGATGAATTGTTTATCATAATATCACAAACATTTCATCAGTTGACAACTTTTTGATATCTCTCATAGGAACCGAGATAATTTCGCTCGAAGTTAAAAGGCCCTTCTATTACAGGTTTTAATCATTGCCTGTTTGTAATGTAGGATCTCAAACTAGAACTTACTTTTGACACATTCTGGAAGCGACGCAACACTCATTTTTATAGTTTATCGATTCTCCCGACCTGCAAAACAATATTCTTCAAGTTCTTTGAAGATCAAAAAGACCAAGTTTCGGTTTTCCCATATTGTGACCACAAGCCAAAAAACGTGATAAAGTTACTAAAGAAGATAACAAATAAAAGTGCTTCGAAAAAATAACATAACGGAAAACCGGTTATCCCCCCTAACTGACACGTAAAACGACCGAAAAACAAATTGAAGTATTTATGTGAATGTGTGTCCGTTTTATATGGGCGAGATGTTCTTTTATACATAATCTTCTCGGGGCGGGCCGCAACTTTTTTTCAATTTTATTTGGACGGCACTGAAACAAACAAGAGGAAAAGATGAGTATTTTGTCGAAAAATCGGTGATTCGATTTACAATGGTTGGGTGATGATTTGATGGCCCGACGACGATGAAGAATAATTGGAAGACCAAAAAGATTTGGTGATGGAAAAAAACACTAGAACAATTTGTTTCGAAATTTTGGACACTATTGAACGTCCTAGATTTTCCAAAACAAGGAGATGGAGTGAAGTACGAGATGAATGCCAACGGACACTGCGGTGGCCCAAGCGGAGTAGAGAGCTGGTATCTGGAAAATGAATTTTGAAAAAGGTTTTCTGAGAGTTGTTACCTGATACATTCTCCAGTGGGAGAGTACAATTTGAGTGACTAGTTGGTAAATAGTCGAAAGTGCGATATGGACCAATGGCCAGCTGAAAAATTAGAATGGTTTAAAATTGTTTAAAAAATTGTTATACAAGTAGCTTCTGCTTACGTTTTCCCCTCTTTTAATTTTACCAAACCTTTACTTGTCAACTGTTTTCTTCCCCATTCTCTAGGTTGATCTCGTGAGGGATTCTATCTAGAACTTCCGTTATAACTTTTGTGCCGTATGCTTCTTCTGATCAATAAATAAATAAATATTATTGATATCTGTACAGTAAGAGTCTATAAAATACAGTAAACACCCTAATAGAAGGCCACCCGAATCGCAACTCTAAGCAGATATATCTCGGTTCCTATAGAAGATATCAAAAAGTTGTTCACTAATAAAATGTTAATCATAACCTCAACAACATTTCAATGATTGACCACTTTTTGATATCTTTCACAGAAACCGAGATACATGGGTTCAAAGTTAATGGTTCTGGTGACCTTCTATTAGAGTGTTTACGGTATATAAAAACATATTTTTAGTATTTTCATTTTTCAGTTAATTTGGATAATTTTCAGGATCCAGTAGCTCGACTGTCAAGTTTCCGATCACTTTGAAAATTACGGAGGGTATAAATTTGAAAATTACGGATGGTATAAAGAAAATTACGGATGGTATAAAGAAAATTACGGAGGGTATAAAGAAAATTACGGAGGGTATAAAAGACCTAGATTGAAAACTTTGCATTCAAAGAATTGCCAAAATGGTGTCATTCAGAAAGCGGCAAACATCTGAAAAACTGGGAACTTTCAAAATTTTCTCTGAATGCAAAGTTTTTCAATCTAGGTCTGTTTTACATCCTCCAAAATGTTCAAATTGATCGGAAACTTGACAGACGAGGTCCAGACTCCTGAAAATGGTCAAAATGGCCGAAAAGCAACCCGGTACTGTACATTATCCCTTTTCTCTATGGACCTAGGCAGGATCAACATGCTTACTTACATGTGAAAGAACCGTCTTGCATGCGTGTCAATTTTCATTTCCATCCGTAAAATTACAAACAAAAGTGCCAGTATAATAAGCAGTCCAATTCCAATAATCACCAAACAGAAGACTGAAAATTTTGAAACTTGTTATCTAAAAAATATTATCAGACTCACTCTGAAAATGCGTTACAGTGGGGATGTCTACTTTGCTCCATTGCACCAAAAGGAAGTAGAAAATTCCAACATGGATGACAGAGGAAAGAGAATGAAGGATGGCGAGCACTCTTTTTTTTCTGAATGTTTGGAAAATTATAAAAATTTAATTCTGGTTACTTACATGGGATCTAAAACTGGATCTTTGAAAATATCAGATATAGTTTCTTCAGGATTCTCAGGATTTTGAACAACTGGCATATTTTTTCGAAATGACTCTTGAGTTATCATGTTCAGAGTTCATGTTGTCTCGTTATCAGTGTCACCTCCGTTCCAGGAGGTGCTAATCAGATGACTGATAAGAAAATGAACACATTGTTTTTGAAAGTTTTATTTTTGAAAATTTTATGAGTCTATAAAAATTGTTAAAGGATCAAAGAGTATTTTTTTCCATCTAAATTGTCTTCACTTTCCCCCTTAGAGTCACTTAAGGATCAATAATAGCCATTATATTACTGAATGGCGAGGAAAATAAGCAGTTTCTGTTATTCAACATTTTCAAGTACTTCCCATCCTCTCATAGAAATCCGGATTTTTCTGTCTCTGTTCCGTAGTACCGCCCATTTTGGTTTGAAACTATATAAAACTTCAAATTGACGACTAGTTCTATCCATTAAACCAATTTCGGAGAATGGGTTGGTGGAACTATAATTTCAAATTGTCCACTGTGATTCGACTGGCATTCGTTTCCTCGTCATTGCTCATTTCACTATGCCTGTTTTTGATAATGATGACGTCCAGGGAGATTTCGGAGTTCAGAGAGCAGACGTTAGATGATTTGAAGGAGTGGAAGGTGAGCTGATTGATACCATAAATTATTAGAAAGCTATTAGAAAGGCCGGCTCTCTTATTGTTCCAAGATATGTACCTTTGGAGGGTCCTTTTATCGAATGAGATCTTCTAGTACAGGGTTACGGTAACTTTTGGACAAATTGTCTGGATTTTTATCAAAATATATAGTTGTAAGGATTTGAAATGGAAAGTTTATGTCGCAAACTTTATCATCCAGCAGCTGAGGTACCTATTTCCTCTAATAGAAACAAAACAGTCAGCTTTGAGCTTGATTATCTTGTTTCCTGTGAAAGATATCGAAAAGTTGTCAACTGATAAAATATTGATCATATTATGATATAAATTATATCAGTCGAGAAATTTTTGATATCTTTCACACAAAATGAGATAATTGAACTCAAAGTTGACAGTTTAGATCGGTTTCTATAATATTAGAAAAACACGTTGACTTTGTCCAACCTAACATGATCTGTTTTACAGTACTTCTCTGACGCCGCCTGGAAAGAAATCACAACCCAAACCATCCGCAAAACTCGAAGTGTAAGTGGAAACGCGGGAAATAGATTCTGGACCAAAAGATCTTATGACACCTACGCCCCAGCTCAGCAGCAAGTCAACTCCTACGCCAGAGTGAATAGTTATGCAACCGCTCCAGTTCTCCAACACCCAACCCAGCAAATTGACCAGTGTAGTGAGTTTCTAATTCAGTTCAACCGAAAACTCTACTATCTCGGAAACTTACAGACTGCGCTCAACGTGCCAACAACTGCCCTCCTGGTCCACCAGGTCCTATTGGTTATCCCGGAATGCCTGGTGAACCTGGTGATCGAGGTCTTGATGGACGCCCTGGTGCCAATGGTGTAGCTCTAACCGCCTATGACCAAGAGGTCCCAGGATGTATAGTTTGTCCACAAGGACCACAAGGGCCTCCAGGACCAACTGGTCAGGCAGGACATCAAGGAGCTCCTGGACTACCTGGAAACCCCGGATACACCCCACCACCAGGTCTTCCAGGACAACCAGGCCAATGTGGAGATAAGGGAAGAGATGGACCAAGTGGAACACCAGGAATAAAAGGAGAACCAGGACAAAACTCGATCCGCCATGTTTGTATTCCCGGAAGAAAAGGTGCTCCAGGCCCCCCAGGACAGTGTGGACCACCAGGACCCCCAGGATACACACCACCACCAGGGCCACCAGGGCCTCCAGGAGAGCAAGGAGAGGATGGGCAAGATGGAGAACCTGGAGCACCAGGAGTCACCGGGTATCCAGGAGTACGTGGGCCACCCGGACAGGATGCAGAGTATTGTCCATGCCCACCTAAAAACGCTGGAGTTATTAGAAATAGTTTTGTGGAGCCTCCAGGTGAGCTTTGAATTTATTTACGGTACAGCAATCACAACATTTTCAGTCTCTGCAAGTTATGCTATTGCTCCTCCACAAACCCCACAAAACCGTTACGTCAGCGAGTACAACAAGGAGGACGAGTATCGGAAGAGAGTGTTGGCGAGAGTGCTCAAGAAGCAGCGAAGACTTCTGCTGGCCACAAGAGCGAAGAATGTCAGAAGAAAACCTGTTAATCATAATTCCACCACTGCTGTTATTAATCACCCAGCATGAGAATTTTGAAATAAAAGCTTATTCAAAAAATTAGTTTATTGAGGTATGAGTATGTACAAGAAAAAAAGAATTGTCATCGGTTTCAAAAACACTTAACACATATAAAAGACTGATTTTCACCTAGTTAGGCATCGGTGGAGCTCGGATAGCAGAAGTGGAGCGCTTCTGAATGCTCAGTCGGTTAGCACCACTTCCCGGATAAGTAACAGCTACGGAAGCAGACAAAAGTCCACTGGACACTGGTGGGAAGATCCGATGAGGGGATGATGGGGATGTGATTGGTGGAGACGTGGAGTTCAGCTGAGAAGATGCGCGACGACGATGAGTGGACGTCGCCATGGCTTCACGGAGTTTGATGGCACGCAACTGTTGGGAAAGATGTGTTACGGTTTGGTTGCGGTCGTTGAGTTCTTCATTGAGCTGGCGAATTCGGTCGCTCTGAAAATTTGGGATTTAGGATTTTTGATATCTCTTATAGAAATTGAGATAATTGAGCTCAAAGTGCAATCATACGATGGCCTTCTATTGGAGTGTTTTCGATATGTTTTTTGCATACTTGTAAAATTCCGGGCCGGCCCGCCAAAGCCCGGGCCGGGCCCGGCCCGGAAGGCCCGGTAGCAAAAATTTTGTCATTTTGAACCGAATTTTGAGCTTTTAATACAATTTTCTATATTTTTTGTGCTTTTTGGACTGTTTGATCAAAAAATATTTGAAAAAACTCGAAAAAAATTTTTTGATCGAAAAAAATCACATAAGGGTGTTTTTTGAAATTTTCAGAACTTGTGGAATGACAGGCCCGCCGGGCCTCCGAAATTCGGGAAAAAGCCCGGCCAGGCCCGGCCCGGCCCGGCCCGTTACAAGTATGTTTTTTTGTAAATTTTTCTATTTAAAATTGTCTACTCACCTGAATCGTAATCTGCTCTTGCAATTTCTGAATCGTCGTGCTAACTTTCTTCTCCAAATTCTTCGTATATCCCTCCTTCTCCAAAATCATTCTCTCGAGTTCAGAAATTCTGGCCAGTGTGTCTTCGCTCCCTTCTCCATATGCGCTTCGTCGTTTCTCTTCCCTCAACTCATTGCCAAGTCTGTTGATTTCGTTATGAAGCGATTTCAACATATTCGACGTTTCATTTTGCAAAAATTGAATCTGCGCTTTCTCATGTTTCCTCCATTCGTTATCTCGTTCTTTTAGTGCTCGTTCTATGCGCAGCTCGAGTTCCTCGAACTGAAAATTTTAGAATCTATTTAACCTTTTTTTTTCAAAAGTTCATCATAGTCAGTTTCTAAGTTTGAACTCTCCAAAAACTGCCAGTTTCTTTGCTATCTCCAACTTACATCTGAAGAAGGGGGCGAAGGTTTTCCTTTGGTTGATGGAGGCAAAGATTCGGAGCTAGACGATGAAAATGAGCACCGATTTTGATGTGGTGCATGGAAGGAAGCGGTTTGGGATGGAGGGCGACTTACAACTGCAGTGGACATTTCTGGAAAATGAGGGATAAAGTTTATAGGGAAAATAGAGAGAAGTGAAAGATAGGAGAGAAAAATAAGGAATTTGTAGCTGTTTACAGCTCAGATTTCGTCAGAAGGCGTCATAATTCATGGGGACAAATTACGCAAAAGAAAAAAGTGCAAAAATTGAGAGATAATATGACGAACATAAAGATTTACCGAATCTTCCATATTGAAGGCAGGGCCCGACCAAACGCGACACGGTACGACAGGACTTGCCCACTTTATAGCTTGGAACTTCGTTCATAGACAAGCTACAGTTTTGCAACTAATATCATTTTGTAGAACTTGTCTAGTTTTATAATATCAATTTTAGTTGGTCCAGAAATATTAATTCTAAAATGAACTATGACAAGGCCCGCGAACCGGCAAAGGTCCGGTTTACAAGTATTAAAAAATAAATTTCAAATTGGATGTTTCTGGAAGTTCTATAAAAATTCCATATTTAAAAAGAACTATTTGATTCAAATGCCAACAACTATCTGTTAAACCAAAAATTAAATTTGAAGTGTCCTTTTCAAAATTGTGCACGTAGACTCCATTGAAACGAAACCACTATTAAAAAAGTGCAGTCCGAGCTCAAAAAGTGTCCTTTAAGGAGTTCAAAATGGAAATAAATGAGTCAGCTGACTCTTACAACATCCTCTAGACTACGAATCGAACCACTTTGAGAGTGTGATTCAAGAGGTAGAGAGAGAAAAAGAGAAAAAGAGAACTTCTTGTTAGAGGGAAATGTTCACAAAATGTAGAGAGAAGTGAAAATTGAGAGGCAAAAAGGGGGACGAGGATTTAGTCCAAAAGGGGAAGCATAGAGAAGAAGAGGAAGAACCAGAAATGGTGGTCGATATATGTGGGAGAAAAACGGAGGAGAAGAAAATAGAGGAGTAGAAAAAGGAGAAGCTGCTCAATGAGCATGGGGTGATGGGGAGTAAATGAGGATTAGTGGTATATTTATCCAAAAACGCTTTGAAGTAAAACAGAACGCTGTCTGGAAAAAAGCCTGGAATAACAAAATATGATAAATAATAAGATTTTTATGGCAAGTAGAGGACCAAACACCTTAGGCTCTACAATAACCCTAGGTTTTGCAAGTAGAGGACTAAACCCCAAGGTTGAAACCCTAGGTGTAAGGCGTTTTTTAAATCATAGAATAAAAAAAAAAGTGTTAAGAACTTTTATAGTACCTCAAAAACTGTTTCCGATTGTTCCCAAATCCAGGGTTTCTATTACAATTCAAAAACTGGCCACACTAGAATTTAGAACACTTTGCAAAAGTTTTCAAAAGTTTATGGTACCCAAGAGAATAATTTTGAAAGAAATACGACTTTTATGGAACTTGTGGTTCCTACCATGATTTCAAAGTTTCCGATTTTCAGATTTTTGAAATCTCAGAATTTCAGACTTTCCGACTTTCGACATTTCAGAAATTCAGATTTTCAACTGACAGAATTACAGAAGGTCAGAACCTCAGAACTTCAGAAACTTATAACTTGCGCTTTACAGAACTTCAGAATTTTAGAATTTCAGGTTTTTAGACTTTCGAAACTTCAGAATTTAATTTAGTTGGGTAAAAAATATTAATTCTAAAAGAAGCTATGACAGATCCCGCGAAGGCCCGGCAAAGACCCGGTTGCAAGTATGAGAAAATCTGTTTCCTTTTTCTTCTTCCAAAAAATTTTATGAATGTTTGAGTAGTAACTCAATAAAAGAACGTTTTGCATGACGAAACAGGGGGAGCGACAATTCAAAAGGGAGAAACGAATGAATGTGTTGGTTTTCGGTGAGCATATGGAAACGAAAAACTCTGGGAGAAAAAAAATGGACAAAATATGGGCGGTGGAAAGAATGGCTGTAAACAAATAAGGAAATATTTATGACTGTATACACATCCGTTTGGGGGAAAAGAAGGTGTGAGGAACGCTTGGAATAGAACTGGGAAGTCCCTTATTTCCATTTTGCTCCTATTTCGAATTACCCTAACAACCTGTGATAAAGGGACCCCAACACTGCCAACTCTGACCAAACTTATCTCGGTTACTGGGAAATATATCAAATATATGTCAAGTAATAAAATGTTGGTTATATCATGATAAACAATTTGTCAGTTGACAACTTTTTCATATCTCAGACATGAATCGAGATAAATCGGCTTGAAACTAAATGACCGAGTGCTCTTCTTCTACAGTTTTTAAACAGGTAAACACTTTCCGTACTATCCGGCAACTCCTTCACGAAATGAAACAGTCGAAAAATGAAACAAATGAAATGAAACAGTCCTAATTCTATTTTTGGTTGATCTAAGGAATCCTTATTTCTAATCTCAATTCCTCAGATCTCTTCAGTGTCCTCAACTAGCACCAGAAACCAGCACCAAAAACCAAAAACGGTCTAAAACAAAAAAAGTTCCGAACAAAAAACTGTGATCTGATAGAAACCCTGAAATCAGTGATCCATAAAAAAGAGAACACGAGACAAAACTGGTTCTTCCTCTCCTCTCAAAATGTTTTACTGCCCCCAAAAAATAAAGAAAGATGGGAAGTGACTTTCGTGATGTTACACTATCATTTATGTATTCATGGCAGTGAGTGTATGACACAGGAAGTGCCCCCTCTCTCTCTCGATGCCGAACTACACAAGTTCGGAATTGATGATTTTAGAAAGGAGAAAAAAAACGAGTGATTCCAAATAGAGAATAACATGTTTTTGGGGAATGGTTGTGATAGCGGTATGTTAATTAGGGTGTATAGATTTTGGTGAAAAAATTTGGAAAATAGAAAATTTCGAATTGGAAATGTCAGGTGTCATGTGATGTAATGTATGCAGAAAAACGGCAATCATGTACAAAGATTAAAAAAAAATTTACTATAACTACCCTCAAACCTGTAAAAACCCCGCACCCACGATGTTAAGTTTGAAGTCAATTATCGCAATTTCTCTCCAAGATATGAAAAATGTGTCAATTAGAACATTTTTTCTGATACTATGATGAACAATTCATCCGTTGACAGCGTTTTGATATATTTTACAGGAACCGAGATCAATTGGTTATAGGTTAAAAGTTAGGGGCACTACTATTACAGGTTTTACGGAATGTTAATAAAATAGAACAGGAAAAAGAGCAATTTCGAATTGAGCCTTGTAGAAAATTGAAATCTAGGTGATGACCTAAAAGCGTTTCGATATCTTTAACAGGAGCGGAGATAAATTGGTTGAAAGTTAAAAGAGGGACACTAGTTTAACAGGTTTTCCGGTTATTTAGGTAAAAAAAAATTTTTTTATGAAGAATAAATAATTTAAAGCAAATTTAATTCTAAAAAAACACCGGCCGACAGAGTCTAACTCATCCGATACACTATAAAAATCTAATAAATTCTGTGAACAAACAAAATTTGTACATCTGACATCAGCATTTGACCAGTCCAGTCAAAACATATTAACTGAAGGTGTCTGAATACTAGTAGTAGTGTGAAAAATAAACGTTTTTTTTTTCTCGCACGTAAACAAAACATGAGAGCCTTCTCGGGAAGACGACACACTCACACTGAAATTTGATATTCTGTGAGAGATTGAAAGTCAGGGAGAGACTAAAAGATAGAGGTGGACAAAACTATTGGGTCTAGTAAGTTTTAAAAAGTGGGCGGGCCAATAGACGATATGAGCTCATACATTTGCACTTCTGAGGTCACAGGAAAGCGCACGAGTCAGAGGCAATGAATTCCTTGAGAGAATTCATTGTTCAGGTCAGGCGACCGATTTTTGAGATTTTGAATTTTCAATAGGGGTGCCTCTGGGGACCAGCTGTTGATTTGAAGGGATACATTGGAGTGGACTGGATTTTTTGTCATATGACAGTGGATTTTATAGAAGAAGTCAAGGGAGGTTTCAAGAGGATCCATATTTTCGGGTTCAAATTGAGATTGGACTCAAATATCTCAAATTTTTAAGGATCGAGAATGTTTCTGAATTCTCACAGACCTTGTCAGAATCGTCAAATTCTGAATCCTCAATCCGAAAACTTCGAAAAATTCGAAAGTTGGGATCGAAAGTTGGATCAGTTTCATCAGGCCAATCGAATTCAAGGAATTTGCACAGTTTTTGAATAAAAAAAAATGAATAAACATTTTTCCAGTTTCTGAAACTCTGGATTTCTCTGGGAACTTTAAAAAAACATGAAAAATTTTTAAAAAAGCCAAGAATGAATCAGGTGTGTATTTGTGAAGTGTCATAAAACCTGCAATAGAAAGGTACCCGCACTCACTGTCAAGTTTGAGCTTGATTATCTCGGCTCTTTCAATCGATATCAAAAAGTGGTCAATTAATAAATTGTTAATCATAATATCAGAAACATTTTATCAGTTGACAACTTTTTCAGATCATTGGCAAGAACCGAGATATGTTGGTTCAAAGTTGAATGTTGGGGAAATCATTGTATTACAGGTTTTACAGTATTTTGAATTTCCAAAAAGAGGGATTTCGATAACAAATTTAACATAAATCAAATTCCAAATTACAAAAAACAATAAAATAAATCACAAAAACTGATCTTTCTAGTGGTTTTCCCTCCTCGAAGATATTACTGCATTCTGCTTCCTCAGGTCCATCATATACTCTGCGTCTCTCCCCCTTTCAACACTATCTTCCTCCAGTTTCTCCGATTTTACACTTTGAGTTCTCTGAAGTGAGGAGCAGGAAGATCTCTTTTTCTGCAAAATCTCTTTCTATCGATTTTCAACCTTTCGATGGATTCAGATGACAACGATAAGACTTCTGATGAGAATATCCGGAGTTCGTTGGGAGATGAGGTGCCTGAAAAAACGTGGCTTCTGAATTTTGAAAGATTTTCAGGTCACCGGGCTTCGAGCAAAACGATTGATTGCCACATTGGTATGCCTGTTTGTTCTATTTATGATCACTTTAATCACTCTGGCTGTAAGTTCTTAAAAAATATAGGACTGATTAAAAAAAATATTTTTCAGCTCAATATCTGGATAATTTCCACCCTACGAATGTCATCCAATGGAATTCCATTCCTTAGATTTTACCATAGTTTCAATGAAAAAACCAAGGACATGGAAAAGGTAATAACTTTGATTTACCGTAAAACCTGTAATAGAAGGACACCCACATTGTCAAGTTTGAGCTCAATTATCTCGGTGCATATAATAGATATCTAAAATAGGTTAACTGATAAAGTGTTTGTGATATTATGATAAACAATTTCTCAGTTGACAACTTTTTAATATCTTTTACAAGAACTATGATAAATTGGCTCGAAGTTAAAAGATAGGGGACCCTTCTATTACAGGTGTCACGGCACCCATGTAAAAGAATTTTCCAGACGATTGAAATGAGTGGGAACAAAATCCGATTCGACAAAGTGGTCTCCAATAAAATCATGGGATTCCCAGAGAAAGATATAACAATCACTGCTCCACGAATGTTAATGACGTCACGACAAAACGATAGTCTTCTGGTGATGAGTGAGAAGTTGTGCAAGCTGGAGAGAGTCAATAATTTCCAGGTAGAACTTATTTCTGTGATTCCATAGATTTCCTTTTAAAGGTGCTGTCCCCGAAAGACGGTAGAACGCTTTTCTCCGCCCGACATCCTACAGTAACCATTGACAAACGTATCAAGAAATTAGCCGCTGAGAGAATTATTACGAATAAAATCAGGTCGGCAGTTGATGAGACTCTGAAGGTGAACGGAGAGAATGTGGTGTTACGTGGAAATGAGCAAGTAAGGATTGATGCAAGGAATGTGAATTTCGAGGGTATGAAACGGATGGTTTTTAATATTTCGGTGAGTTTTGGGTCTTCGATTTTCATGAAGTCTGGAATTTTAGCCAACATACAGTACCGGTCAATAAGATATACGAAAAAAAGTATTTTTCAGTTGATTTTTGGCCATTCTGACTATTTTCTGGAGTCTGGAGATCGGCTGTCAAGTTTCCAATCGCTTCGAAAATTTTGGAGGGTGTAAAACAGACCGAGATTGAAAACTTTGCATTCACAGAATTTTTTTCAAAACCTTAGTTTTTCAGTTATTTGACTATTTCTGAAATATGCCTATTTTTTACTTTTTCAAAGATGCTTATTTTTTACGTTTTCAGTCCAAAAACGGACGAAAAAGGAGACGGGCAAATAATTCGAAAGTAGAAAACATTAGGGTCATTAGTGTACAAAGGAATTTAGGGGTACAAAATCCTCACTTTGGGGAGGGGCGTGTAAAATATTCCTTATATATGTCTGCAAATTTCAAGGTGATCTAAAACTGATCAGCCGAGCTCTAGACTCTTGAAAATAGTCGAAATGACCGAAATTCAACTGAAAAAAATAAGTTTTTGTACATTTTATTGACCGGCACTGTATTTAGAATGTGTTTAGAAGACCTGGAAAATGAGATAAAAGGGGCTTTTTGAAAAATTAATGATTTTTGGACGTTTCGAAAAAACATGTAAAAAGGGGTTTAAAGAATTTTTTTTCAAATATGTGGAAAATTATGAAAAATAACAAGGTTTCAAAAAGTGTACTGATTAGCCAGACTAGAAAGTCTGTTGATCCCTTTCGCCACGTAGAGGCTCAGTACATGAAAGGGAAACAAGGTTTATTTGCCAATGGGATCACCTTCTAAAACCCATAGGGGGTGGTGGGAGGGGTCCCCACCCCCTAA